CAAAGTCACCTATTTAAAAGGTGATTTATGTTTGATCATAGCAATGTGGCAAGATGAAGTGGCATCGTGATGTGGCTTGGTGACCTAGCGTAAGTCACCCGTTAGAACGGCGACTTATAAGTCGCTCGTTAAACGGGCGACTTAGACTTGATTAAAAAAGAGACTTTCCCCTTCCAGATCTAGTTTCGTGGAAGTTGTCTTCCCTGATCTGATGGTTTTCGCCGGTTGAAGTGTACGGTTAGTTATTTTTTATATTTTTTTGCTTAATTAAGTTAAATACATGTTGTTAAGTGTTCATTTTGTTTAGAGAATTATATATTTACTAATATTTATGATTTGTTTCTCTAATCTTTTGGATAAATCTCTTTGTTTGTTGAATTAATTTCAAATTTTGTTTGGTATAAATAGGGATTTAAGCATTTATGATATAAATGTTGCAAATCTTTTGTAGATCAAGTGATGTAGTTTACCTAGAAATTTAAAGTGGCATTTAGGATGTCAATGTTTGCATTTTTTTTTCTTTTTCTTTTTTTTTTCTTTTTTTGGTTCTTTTGGCATGGAGAAGATGAAGCTTGAATATATAGTGTTTTTAAAATTTGTGTTCTTGTGTTTGGAAAGAGATAATTTTTTGTTGCTTGTGTTTGGAAAGATATAATTTTTTAAAAAATTTTGTTTTAAATCTGTTAAATTATTATTATTTTTTCTTATTTTGCAATATCATTTTTTGATATTTACAGAAATTTCTTATATGCAAAAAAATAAAAGGAAGAAAATTATATAAAAAAATTATGATGAAAATTTGAATAATTGCTAGTTTTAAAATAATTGAGATTATGGTATGCACATTATAAAATGTGATTAATTTTTTACATATCACATTCATTATAAAATAAATTCAATAAATTTGAGATTTACCCTCACTGAAAAATTTTTCCATGGAGAAGATGAAGCTTGGATACATATTTTTTGAAATATTTTCATCTTTTATTTATTAACCAATGTTCATTATATGAATTAAATTATTTGAAGATAATATAAGTTGAAGTAAATATTTTGGTTAAGTTTTACATGTGTTTGGAAATTGATAAGTTTTACATGTGTTCATTTTGTTTAGAGAAGTATATATTTACTAATATTTATGATTTGTTTCTCTAATCTTTTGGATAAATCTCTTTGTTTGTTGAATTAATTTCAAATTTTGTTTGGTATAAATAGGGATTTAAGCATTTATGATATAAATGTTGCAAATCTTTTGTAGATCAAGTGATGTAGTTTACCTAGAAATTTAAAGTGGCATTTAGGATGTCAATGTTTGCATTTTTTTTTTCTTTTTTTTTTTTTTTTTTTGGTTTTTCATGGAGAAGATGAAGCTTGAATATATAGTGTTTTTAAAATTTGTGTTCTTGTGTTTGGAAAGAGAGAATTTTTTGTTGCTTGTGTTTGGAAAGATATAATTTTTTTAAAAAAAAATTTTAAAATTTGTTTTAATTTGTTGTGATGATTTTGTAATTTATTTTGCTTGGAACCCTTATTTGGTAGAGAGATAATTAGAATTAATTTATTGGGTTTTCAAAAATATATATTATACTACGCATTTAAATATTTTTATGATATTATTAAATTATTGTGGTATTTATAGTAATTATAACTTAGCTTTAGTGAGTACAATTAATGTAAATTAAATCAGAGGAATATTAAGATTTGGTGTTTTACAAAATAAGAAGAAAGTTCTCCCAAATGATGCCTAAGCGTTTCAAATTAATCAAAGCATTTTGCTTTCATAACTCTTGCATAATGCAAAAAAGATTTAAGCCTTCATTTGGGACGGTTTTTTTTTATTACTTTTTAAAATAAAGTTTTAGTTAAAAAATTTTAATTTTTTAATTAAAACTCTGTTTTCAGAACAATAAAAAAAATCGTCTCAAACGAAGCCTAAGATTTCATTTGAGATGACTTTCTTACTACTTCTTAAAGCAGCTTTTTAGTACAAATTATTTTTTGTATTAGAAAGCTGCTTTAAGAAGCAGTAAAAAAAATGTCCCAAATAAAGTCTAAGGCTTCATTTGGGATGGCTTTTTTAGTGCTTCTTGAAGCAACTTTTTAGTACAAAAATTTTATTTTATATACTAAGAAGGTGCTTCAAGAAGCAGTAAAAAATATGTCCCAAACGAAACCTAAATGCATACGTATCATTGCCATAAAATGTAACATCAACAGAATTTTTCCTCTTAAATTGCAAATAAATTGAATGCCACAACTATAAGATATACATATTATTAGCAACTAATAAGGCCATTTAATGGCAACATTTTCAACAAAAAAAATTACTGGTAAAACAAGCCATTAGAATCAATTCAATATTAATAGTATTTCTAACTATCATTTTGAACTAAATGAAATCAACCCTAGGCTGAATGATTAGAAGATAAAGAGGATGTGCTGGGAGCAGTGGCGGTTTTTCTATTGACATAAATATATATTATTTTTTATTTATTAATTTTGGTATAAACTTTTGCTTTCTTATAGAATGATATAGCCATTACCATGGTAGAAAATTTTGATATAACGTTATTTTATTTTCTTATTTTTGAAGTTTTGATTTCCTTACTAATCAATATAATATAAAGTACACATATATAATCTAAGTGGTGAGCGATAAAATTATTTGTTTGAGTTTTAACATTATCAAGCTTTCATGCACTTTGAGTACAATTAAACAAATTTCAATTTGTTTAATTGAAGATTACGGATTTTAATTTGCCAAAGCATTATACATAATTTTCTAGAAAATTTTATAAGTAATTATTATAATACACTGCCTACTAAATCCTCCATCAAAGGAATTTTTATTGGTGCGGACAATGCCCGTAGTTCTACATCCGGATGCCAGTTAAAAGACGCCACATAGTGACCTAAAGACCCGCGGACCTGGCTCGTAGAAAAGTCAGAAATAAGCATATGTGTTTCCTAATTATTGCACGGCCCGGCCACCTGACCCGACAAGAATGAGAAAATTTCAAAGAAACACACTTTTTTTTTAGGTTTTATCATATTTGTGGACTTTTTTTTTTTATATGTGAGATAGGATATCGCCACATAAGAGAGTTGGGAAAGAAGAGGGGGAAGAGGATATGAAAATAGAATTCTCTTTGGATGACGTCGAAGATTCCGAGGAGATGGAAGACTTCCAAAACGTTGAGGAAGGCTTACCGTGGCGATGTATGGGAGATAAGTCTGGAATATTATCGGTAAGTTTATAAATCCAAAGAGGTTTTAGAATTTATCATTTGAGAATGTAATTGTGGTTTGTCTACTTTTGGATAGTGTGAAGCTTCTGGGAACTACTTGTTCAAGCTTTTTGGTACCCCTTGTTGGTACTGAGCAGTATCGCTTCTCAGTACTCCATCTCGATACCAAGCAGTACCTCTTTGAGGTACCGAGCAGTACCATTTTGGCTTTCTTGTTCCTCAGGAAATTCGAAGTTTGAGGAGAGAAAGAGATCTTATTGAAGATCGGATTCATCATTTGAATTGGTCTCTCAAGTAAGTTTCGTAAAATTTCAGCTCTATGAATTGCTGCTACACGTGGAATTGAGGTATGGGTTTCTCCATTTAATGTGGTGATAATGAATTAGTTGATTTAGCCATCTTGTGCAAGAATCGGGAGCTGCGAGATGGCCGAACTAGCTCGTGAGGGAACCTGGAGCCTTAAGGTGTGTCATTTCGGTTTGGTGATTTTAAACTGTATGATAAGTTTCTTCGTGTAAGCAAATTTGTTTTTAATATTCTTAAAATTATATATCGTGCTTCGATAAAGAATTTTTGAAAAAATATTATGTAAAGCTGATATTGTGTATTGTTGAAATTAATTTTAATATTTGCTAAAATCAATATTAGATTATAATATTATTATGTTAATTTTATTAAGTTTTAATGATATTATCATTTATTACATGATCTGATATTGTAGAACCATGAACCTTCTTGTTCATTGTCCGGATTGATTTTATATTATACTTCTTTTACTTTTTTTAATTAAAATTATGCTCCTACTAAAAATTTCATTAATATATATATATATGACTTGCCAACTCTGATCAGCCCTCAATGAATCGACAATTTGCCAATTCATGTTTTATTTAGGACAATACTTTTACCGTTTTATAAAGTTATTGTTTTCTAAATTAATTTTTTATTAAAAAAATTTCTAATAAAATAATTTTTTATATTAAAAAATCACTTTTAAAAAATAGAAAGAAAACTATCACAAATAAAATATTAATATAATTTTTTTAAAATAATTATTTTAAAAAATAATAAAAAAATTA